ACCCCTGACTACGTTCCGCAGATGAAGTCAGTCATTTTGGCAGGGAATGAAGCTTGTGATAAACTCCCTTCAGTGGGAATATGGTATGTAAATTTCTCCCCATGCAGTCTTCGGTCTGGTGAAGACATAAGCTCCTGGAACAATAACCCAGCAGAAGCAGAAATTGCTCCGGACAATGAGTTGTGATTTTCTGCATGGAAACGTGTTATGCTCTCTCTGTGGGTTCCTGCTTCACATTTTCTGTTCTGGATTTTTCTTAGCAGGTACTCAGACATTGATGTTTTTCATTTTACGGCAGGACTTGAGTGCACCTGTTTCCTTCCTAAACTGTGTTGAGTTGATATTTATGTCAGTTGATTGTAAGATCTGTATGTTTGAGTATCTTAAAGGCCTGTGCTATTTAACAGTGTCCAGTTGTGCTGTGATGTTGATGGCATTTTAGCCAATAATCTCTTGATGTAAACAGTTGTTTAGTTTTTTTTTGAGAAGTACATTTTTAAACTAAATGTATTCAATCTAGTTATCTTGGTACAATGGGACGAAATCGGCACTATTTCTGTATGATCCTCCATTGCACCTTTTGTACATTTTGTGTTTTATAGTTTATATTCCATTATATATATTTTTTAATCGCTTGTTATATTTGTATCTTATTCTTTGCAGTTTTTTTTAAAGATTCTTAAAAAAAAACCTAACCCTTTGCTGATTGTTTTTCCAACCAAAACACCAAGTCAAATCCCTTATATGTGTAAATGGACTCTGAAACGATTCTGATGATAGCATTTAAAAACAAAGTAATGCCATTCAGTTATTATTTGATAACATGATGTTATATTGGTGTTTTGGCCAAGATTTCAATGGACGCAACATTTTTGCAAATCCAGTCTTATCACTGCATGGTCATTTTATAAATTAAATGTAAATGAAATGGCATTTTGACAAAAAACAGCATTAGCAACGTTTGGATTTCTCTAGTTAGGTCTTGCCTAGTGTTATAGTACTCGACATCGGACTTGGTCTAAAGACTGGTCTCGAGACCACTTTTTTTGCGGTCTCGTCTCGGAATCGAAAAGCATTTTCACTCAGTCTCGTCTTGGTCTCGAACTGGCCAGACCCAGTGTTACTGTCTGTTAGTACGTATTTTCATGGATTCATTCATCTTAAAAATTTTGTGGACATATCTTTAAATTGTGTCAACCATCTCACAGTAATTCTACTTTTGGGTCTGTGAAGCATTAACCTTATATGGGTGAAGCACCTAAGTAGTAGCAGATCTATAAATGGATAGGAGCCAACTATATGTTGTCAGCAACTGTTTGCTAGACAGAGAGTCTACAGTTGATACGTATACAAATCAGTATCATGTCATCTTTATTGTTTTATAGTGATGTACCCAAATGGAAAGGAATTTGTGGGCTGTACCTTCTAGCAGAATATAAGCAACACTGTGTGATGAAGACTTTGCCATTTTGCCATTCTGCCACTTTGCCCATGATTGTCATCGATTGTGAGATCTTGGTCAGCATGGGTCAGCGATGGTCTGCACTTTGTCAGCCATGTGTGTTGTGTTTCTGTGTTGTCTGACCATGGCTGAATAAATCTAAGATGATCCACAGTCTGTTTCACGATTTCATAATTGTCCATCTCATACAGAAATAACCCCCACCTAACACTGTCTGAGTGAGTGAAAAGCCCCCCTGCACACAGGTTTATTTTTTCGATGAGTTTTGGTGATATTTATGGTCCTGACTCTGTCTCGATCTCTAAATATCTTGGGCTTGTCTCGGTCTCGGAGCACTCTGGTCTCTGGATGTCTTGGTCTCGGTTAGTGTGGTCTTGACTACAGCACTAGTCCTTCCTAGCTGTGAGGATGTGCTTTTCTTTCCTCATCTTACCCTTTGGTCCATAATCAGCTGACATCAACAATTCCAGAAAAACAAAAGTTAAGTTAACAGATAGCAGATAAGTTAATAATTAAGAAAAATGTATGATACAGCCCTTGCAATTTAAACTCAGATCAAATCTCAGAAATTGCTCTTGTGACCAATTAAGGCATTTCTTTAAAACTTTTAAAGAAGTACATCTTTTACAATCGGCTATGCCCAGCAGATTTAAACCTTCCCTTCATGTCGGCTGTGAGAGGGTGTTTGTTCTTTCAGAGCTTTCATACATAGCAGGAAAGCGATCGCGGCCATCATCCCCTCTCAGAAATTAAACCTCTGCGCCACTCTGCTGGGCTCCATGCATGTAAGGGATATCCTATTAAATGGTATTCACGTTCCTTTTTTTCAGCTAATGCATTAAATATAGCTAGTGGGATAACATTGACACTTATGAAAACCTGACCTTTCAAAATAACATTTAAATTGGACCCAGTTTCAGCAAGTAAATCAGGCATATTTTAACAGATATTAAGTTTAGTCTGAGGTTAAACAATAGGAACTTAATCAAATGATGATCCCTGTGTAATGGCTGCTATTTTTTTTTTTTTTTAAAGTTTGCCTCGGCCCTGGTTGAAAGTCATTGCTCCGGGCAACATCTGTCCACTGCTCCAACTGTGACAGCTACTCCTTATTACTGGATTACGTTTAAAATGAATAACGGTTGCTTTCTTTGCTGCACATCAATCTTTAAATGTGAGGATCAACTCTGGCTAGATTAAGTTTGATGTGAAATTATCTGTCCAGAGTTTAAAAGTGAAATGCAAAAAGTTTTGTTGGGCAGGAAACATTTAATCTTTTTAAATTGTGAATTATGTGTGTTTCATGCGCCCGACCATGTCTAATTATTGTATTCCATTATATGAACAGTAGGCTTATGATTAACCAACAATCAATTCTCTTTTGACTGCAGAACAGCAGAAGCCTCTTTTTAAGCTCTCTATTTCACTCTCTATGTTGTGCTCTTCTACTCTCTACATCTTCCATCTTCTTCCAAACAGAAACATCATAGCAGTACACCACAGGTTTGTTACAACTGTCCCAAGCACAGCAGTGTAGCAACTGAAGCTCTTAGCCAAGAATACATTCTTTGCCCCGAGATTACACTCCTGCCACTATATGATCTCACAGTGATCAGACCAAAAGCCTGGCTGCTCGGAGGGGTTGCCATGCTGTGCTTTGAAAACGTTCATGGGGGCTCTTTGCCTGGCCTTTTGATCATAGCCAGGAAAAACAAGGCTGAAGGAAGTTTCTCCTAAGCTTTTTGTCGAGACAGTTGATGCTTCTACTTTTGTGAAGGCTATAAAGCCTTCCCTGACATAGTGAACCGTGGATTGGTTTTTTAAAGGGTCATGATCAAATGTGCCAGGATACTGTATGGCCATATATGTACTCAGTGGTATTTGTAGGTTGTCAACAAGAGCTGCACTAATCGAATCTAAAACCATGAGAGTGCTTTGAACTCTTTGTATGTAATCTGTGCTCAGAAATGAACTCATTCCTGTTCCTGGGAAAATCTGTCAAATAAATGGCCCATTTACTTTTCCTTGTATTTGCTGTGGCATAGTTCATCTTAGACTTCCCATCAATTTGATGGTTTGTTAATTGGCTAACCTGCGTTATTAGATGGTACCCTCAGGGAAGTATAAATAATGTGTAATGAGTACTAGATTGATGAGCTGTTGAAAGCTGGTGCAATATTACTTTTGATAGCCAGAAGGATATCCGTGTGGACGAATTGATGTGATGTATTTGGATCTAGATTGTTTCCTTAGAAATTTTATCGGATGAGTTTATTACCCAGCCACAAACATTTTTTCCATCTGCAGGGGGTTGAGGGTTAAAATCAATCAACATTAGTTTAACGTATTAACTCATTTCATAGCCTTACTCTCCGGAAATAGAATACTTTTGTATTAGATTTAAATTTGCATTTTGCCTTCTATTATTACAAGTCTATAAACAAAACTTAGTAAATCCAGTAATTTGGTACAAACTTTATATGGACCAGAGTCGACTTAACAGCTACATCTTAGGAAATGATGCTGGGCTAAACCAGTCCTGAAACACAAAAACTCTTAAAGTCCACATGCTTGTGGAACTATTAAAACAAACTTTAGAAGACACAAAAGACGACACAATGTGTATCATACGTATAACAAAATGCAGGAAATACATAAATTGGCTCATTAAAAAAGGGCAGAATGCAGTAACAGACAGTCATTTATTTACTCTAGACCAGAGTCAGTTTTGATGTTTGTAGTTATAAGCTAATCAGCTTCTGGCTTTAGCTTTCTAATTACTGTACAGACACACACACTCTGTCAATTTTCATACTTAAACCTTGGCATTAAAGCAAATTTCCCAAAAAACGAGAGAAATCCTTATCCAACACTTTTTTAAGACTGTGTTTATGCAACAAAGAAAACTGGCTTGTTATTGATTGGGTAATGGGTTTCGATCACTTAGATATCGTACTGCATTATTATAACATTTGTCATCTTGTTGCCTTAATGGCACTCCTAATCCTCCTCGTATGCCAACCAATTATTTAGTGAAGGAAAACCACTTTCCAGGAATAATTAGATGCTTAATTGGAACCCTGCAGTACATTAAGGGATGGGTTTACACACATAGTTCTCCCCCTTGTGATACTTTAAGCAGACATAATTCATTAAATACAACTCTTATCATTTCTGTTAAGTAATGTTTAAAGTAATTCACAATAAATGCCAAACGTAAGCTTTCAGAATACTTAGGCTCTGATTCGGTGGATGTCTGCAACTAATTGGAATTTATTGGGTGAAGAAAATGTAATTAACCTTATCTGCACGAGAAACTCATATGCTGAGTGATTAGTTATTTTTGGAGATATGTTATACATGTACGCTGAAAATGATAATATGTTAAGTAGTGAAAAAAAATGAAAGGAAAGAGAGGAACTACCTGATTTGTTTTGGTGAGTGATGTGTTGTAGTGACACATAAGTCACATGACCAGACCTGTCCTAAAGCTTTCCAAAAAACAAATTTCACAAAAGCTCCTTTTTTTAATAAATAGGTGGACGACATCTTAGGGGAGGAGAGCGACAATGAAAGTGAGGGCAAGGGGAAGGAGAAGCCATGCAATGAAGAGGTGGATGAAGAGGAGGAGCGACAGCAGCAGCAGCCAGGAGCTGGAGAGATAGCAGGAGGTGGGCCTGATCCTAAGGTGCCTGGTATGGAGGACAGACAGCAGACACAGATTCTGGCCAGACTGCAGGACAATGTCCAAAGGTGAGCACAGGTCTATATTGAAAAACCCACCTTCCTCTTTAGTATTCACCTATAGTTTGTGACTATTTTTGGTATAAATGGCCCATTTTTGTGTCTTCACTGAGTGTACTGTAGCTCTTTTTAAAGGGATACTTCACCCGTTGAAACATGAATCTGTATTGACATTGGGTCATATATGTAGTAGAAATGTGAAATACATTTTGAAGTTGGTGCCTTCTTGACCGAGAAAAGGCAGAAAGTGTCTTTTTGGCTCATGTGCAATGCAGGCCACTCCCACTGATCTAGAGAACACCGCCTACCAAGCTAGCTACTACCAGACCGAGGCGGAATTCATTTCACACACAAATTCTACTGAGTTTTTCCAGGCAGGATAGCGCTGGCTGTACGCTCGGGAGTATCTGCATGAAGCGTTTGTGCGCGAGAAGAAAAGCGCTGCATATCTGTCCACTCAAGTTGAAAATCTTTTCAACTTATCAGAAAGGCGCTGTTGACATCACAGGCGCTCTTTTCAAAATGTATGATATTCCCTGTATTATAGCGACCTACAGATCGTATCTTACACGTCCTCTTCGCTCCATGTCTGCTGGGGTAAAAAACGATCTTGAATATAAAACCTGCAGTAAAAAGTAACAGAGCAGTGTCGGTCATACAGCGGCCGTTGTCATCAAACTGTTGTCATAGAGACAGGACGGACGTGCAGCACTTTTCTTCGCAGAGCACAAACGCTTCATGTAGACACTCCAGAGCGCACAGCCAGCGCTTTTCTGCCCGGAAAAAAACGCTAGATAGACACAGGGCCTTATTTGGCAAATTCATTAAGACATCTTCTTTTTTTTATTCTTTTTTTTTTTATTGGTGATAAGGTGAACAAAATGAAACAAGAATATATAGACATGACAACTAAAGCGAGAACAAAAAAATGATAATAAAAAATAATAATGGACAAAATAGATACAAAATAGCAAAACATAAGCAAAGATACAGAGAAATACATTTCAATGAGATGAAAGTCAAGCAATGATTTTCATGTTCATTAAGACTTCTGAAGTACTCTTACTTTTCTTTCACAATTTTAATTATTTTCAGTTGGTCCCACCCCCTATGGGATTGCATGAGGACCTACTAATGTGGTTTTACCCCCGCTAACAAAAGCAGCCTCCAGTGACGCAAAATGACGTTTTTTGCGTCATCAGAAGCTCCTTTTCTGACAAGAAATATGGAGCTTTCCCGTCTCAGTGGAAAATGAGGGCGGGATGCACGACCATTCCAAAATACTACCAGGTTTCTAATGATACAAAGCTTAATGCAAATGGGTGAAGTATCCCTTTAAGTTAATGTCGTACTTTTTGTTGTTGTTGTTATCTTTCCCTCTAACTAACTATCCCTCAAACCTAAATATTTACCATTTGTATTAGTAGCTCAGCTAAAGTGCTCAGTTTAGCCTACTTAGATATATTCACACCCGTTTTTTTTTGTTTCTAGAGGAGAGGTTGACTGAAAGAATACAGGCACAAGAAGCATTTGGAGTCATAGAAATTGTGTTTTTTTTTAACGTTCAAAAGTGTTCTTTTGTTAAATGACAAGTAAATACAGCTGTCAAATAAAAACATCACATACGCCAAAGGAAAAGTGGTTATATAACACACTTCACTTGCATCAGAAGAAAATGTCTAAAGCTTGACAAAGTTCAACTCTATTCCTTTGTAGTGCTCAGTCCATACTTGAAAAGAAAGAAAAGGATGGTTCTAGTCCATCAAAAAATCTAACGGTTCTACAATTCTACAATTCACTTAGCAGACGCTTTTATCCAAAGCGACGTACATCAGAGAGTAAGAACAACACAAGCGAGGATCTAGAAAAGAGGAAACGATGTCAGTAAGAGCAAACGGACAGCTTTAATTTTGATCCGACACACAGGTGCTGACAGGAAGTGCACAGCGGCAAAACACAACATTGACAGCAGTTCTTGAGAGCTCTAATCAGTATAGAAACTATCTTAAAAACGTTATCAAACAAAACCATCGTCATCACCATCATCATCATCAATGATATCAAAGCCATCATCAGTTCTACCAAACTGGTAAGTGATTGAAAAAGTAATGGACGTTCTTCAGTATTAATTTTGACTTAATACAGATAGTCAGAATCAAATAATTTAGTCTATATCTATTGTAGATAGTGTGATATATTGTGAATGGCAGATCCATGAGGATCACAGTTATTTATTTTTTTAAAAGGACTTTTATATATATTAAGGTACGAAAAGATGCAAATTCCTCATTTAAATTGACAACAACTATCTTAATATCACATGAGCGGCAGGTGGTATTTGCCTCCTCAAGCAGCTTAGTGAGATGGAAAATAAAATCCCAAACTATCTTGTTGCCTTCAGCTTGATGTTTCAGCCTCCTATCAAGGTGAGACACAGTGCATAATAGTGACAGAGAGCAGCCAGTTAGGCACACTATTCCTGCTCACCCACTACACTGGTGGAGTGGTATAAGAGACTATTTTGGGCAAAAGTCACGGATTAAGTTTGTTTTTCTGTCTGCAGGTAATACAGACTACACCATGAATCTCAGCAATATGTTTTTTTTTTATCCGATTACATTTATGTATTGAAATATTAACATTTTAGGTTTAACTAAAAACCCAACGCCTTTCACAAACATACAAAGAGTTACAGTGTGTTTACAGCGAATGTGTCAAGTGTTAGATGATCGCTTGTATAGCCTCTGTGAATCAATGATGAAAGTGTTGACAGTATAAAACAAGCGGAAGTATTGAAATCCATTATCAGGGTCATTTTTATTTTCCCTCAAAGTCATATTCCATCTTCTACATTCGTTCATGAAGCAAGCAGCAATAAAAGTAAAAGCCCTCTCTGGCACATTGTGTCAACAAACAGCATTCTCCTCTTTCATAGTTGATTCTCTGCATCCTGCATTCAAAGCTTCAGATGAGAAGGACGGTGAACTACATTACAGTTGGCAAGGCTCTATATCCATTCAGAGGTCTTGCAAATGCATTTTATATTTTCAGACCATACTCATCCACTGGCTATAATCATAACACACCACTCAATCAGCATGGACTTACTGAAGCCAGACAGTCTGGTCCGTTGCCATGGAGACAAATTTCAAACAGACATCAGGTAGTCGAAGAGTTCTGATGAGAGCCTCCTTTTGCTGAAGGACATGATTTAGTTTGGTCAATCTTGTAGATTCAGTTGTTCCCTGTGGATTATTTAGTTGTCTCCTGTCCATCCTCTTTATCTAGTATTTGTGTTTGTCATTTTAACATTTTACACCTGAGAATTGTGCAATTTATTTCAGAGTTCAGGAACAAACCAGTCTGGAAACCCCAGACCAAAGTAAAATACAATATCCCATCTGTCTATGGCTGTACATGACTCTAAAATAACACTTAATCCTCTGACCATCAGTCCCCTTTCTGTGCCACAAGTGCAACTTTGTATGATACTGTATGATCACTAGGGATGTTTTTTTGGCCCGTTTGGAATTCTCCTTGGTCAAGGTTTTGGCCCTCTGTTGTCGTGTTTACAACAGCAATTTGTTATTATCTTGAATACGACAGAACTGACAGTTACATTGACTTTATTGGGGTGATCTTTAATAGTGCAATTGCAGCATTGATATTGCGTACATAAATTGGTACAACGTGAACATGTGCCTGTGCATTCAGGATCTGTATTTTGCACACAGAGCATATGCTTTAAAAATAGGCACTTTGGCAACATTCAACATGTAACATGTAACAAGTGCAGACTGTGTAAAGTTTCCTTCTTTAAGTGTGCCAGAATTAGGATGGTTTTTAGTTAAAGAAACAAGATTTTTAAAGTGATAAAAATTGTCCTTGTTAATTTTATATCTATACATGAATAACAAAAGTCAGGTGGGTAGATAAAACGTGCAAGACATGACTAATTTGATTTGTCTTAGTGCTGTGCTAATGATGGATAAATGTTGGGTCTTTGTGGATGGTATAACAAAGAGTAAGGTCTTTTATCTGCTCTTTTGTATAGTCTCTTGAGAAAACATTAGTTATGATTTGGCACTATACTTATAAAGATTGATTGATTGATTGATTGATTGATTCCTCCCAGTCAATAACCAGTCTTGTGCTCTATGTCATTTTGGTATTTGGATACACTTTGTCTTTCATTACTATCCTTACAAGCATCAGAGTACTCTTGTTTCTTTATTGTTCATAAATGAATCAGATTCTGAAGATTTATCCAAAATCCCTCCTCCACAGTCACTCTGTTATTCTTCCCTGGGTGATAGACAGTCGGTAATTATTTCTTTAGTAGTGTAAAATGTCGTTTTCAGGCGTATGGTTTGTCATTTTGCACCGTCTCTGAAATGTTGTTTCAAAGAATTCGGTAGCATCTATTCAACTTCATGCACTGCATTGTGAGACAATTGAAAATAGCGTTCATGCATGAAATTATTAATTAGAAGTCCCATTGTTAAATTGTATTGAATATATTTCAGGTGTTTCACTTGACATGGAGGAAAAAAACACATTTGAAAATAACAAGTTCCAAAAAACTATCACAATGCACTAATGTATTAGTAATGGTATAAGTTACATAGGATTTTGATAAGTTTAAATGTTTGCTCAGCAACACATGTTCTCAGGTTGAACCCTTAGGTTGAATTGGGATACAGGTCTGCTCTTTGGTTGGTGAAAAAGGACTAGGACATGGAGTCGGTAGAATTGGTATAGTCATCGTCTCTCAACCACAAGGTCTAGGGTTCGATTCCCAACTCCTGCAGCAATATGTCCGATGTGCAAGACTGAATGGTCTTCTGATGGTCTCACTACATAAGTGCCACTACCACTGCCCACAGTAGTGGGTAGGTGTGACATGCTATACAAGCTGAAGTCCATTACCATACGTGCAAGCCTTATTATACTGTAATATGGTGATATAGTACGTTAACCCCAAAAAGCAAAACAAAAAATACCGTGAT